TTTTTTTTTATGATTATATAATGATCATTTTTATATTCAACTTATAATGTAAATTGCAAAATAAAATTTCAATTTTAAGTTCTACTTTGCTATTCATATATTACAAATCAAGCAATACAAATGCAATCTAAACATTATTAACTTTTAAAGTGGTAAAGATATTAAATACACAAAAAAAACAAAACAAAACAAAACAAAAAAAAACAAAACAAAAAAACAAAACAAAAACAAAAACAAAAAAACCAAGTTTAAAATATATTGTTGATTCAATATACAAACATTAATAATTTTTGATTCGTTAATGTTGAGGTTTGAAATCTAATACTTACTTTTACTTAGTTATAGCATGTGAATGTATTCAAATATTAAATGCAGAAATAAATAAATAAATAAATCTTTAAAAATACTTGATTTTTTTAAGGTATTCAGTGAACTAACATACATTCAAATATTCTTTTTACCAATTGTTTTTAAAGTCATATGTCCTTTTTCTCCACATGCTGGCCTTAGTTATGTCTTACAACATACTTATACTATTTACGTACAAGATATAAAGTCTTTGATTTTGATTTTGATTTTTTTATAGATCACTACAAATATAAGAATCAACTATAATATTTGTTGAAATTTCTTTTGGTTGATATTTAAGTTAATCTCAGATGCAATTGTTTCTTAGTTGAACGACTTATATATTTCATTCATAAAATAACACTGTAATAAACACAACTCACTTCAAAAAATTATATAAGCAATGTTAAAAGTGTTAGTTTGTCAAGAATTGTACTTTTTGTTCAATACGTGATTTAATAATGATATGTCAAAAAAGGCAACAAAACAAGTACAAAGACAACATGAACGAAAACAGTATGTATATATAAAAAGATATAACAGAAGCTTCTTGTTTGAGTTTTGGATCCATATACATGGTTTTTTAAAAAACTCTATAATATTTTTTAAGGTAAATTACTCTGTAAGGGGTTAAAATCAAAATAGATGACATCTAGTGTGTTAAAGTGAGGAGTTTCAAAATTTACAAACACATTTCATGATAATTTACATATTCATAAAATCAACAAATATATGCTGTTGGTTGTTATTAATATTGTTTCTATAATTTTTTCCTCACTCAAACAAGATCCTCAGTCAATTGATTGTTGCTCTCAGCCTTCAATAGTATCCCAAATTATTAGATGATACCCACTTTTGTAATTTGATTCTGATTTAGGATCTAAACAAATACATCAAATGTACTCTTTAAATCACAAATATTTGTGGTACAGATACTCCTATCATCACTTGAATGAAAACATTCACTCAAAAACAAGTACGTCATAGTGGTAGTTGTACTAAATGGGTCTGTATATCTAGAAGCCCATTTCACAACATCATGGTATAAAAGTCTTACAAAGGTCTTTCCTTTGTAAGAATTCTTCCCTATCTTCACAAATCATGGCCTTTGAAAATAATAGAAACAATAGATGGTGAGAAAAGGTCATGAAATGCATAAAATATTTATTTCATTATAAATCTAAACATGTACACTCATGTCTTAATTCGAAATCTTATGCCAGAAATCATATACATATATATATATATATATATATATACGAATATTTTAGTAATTCTTTCACACAATTTCTTAGATTTTTATAAAAACCACTTCTTCATGTATATATATATATATATATATATACATCCTATATACACAATAAATGTAAAACATAAAATTTTATTCCTAATTTTATATTATCGTGTAAGTATATTTAAATGTTTATGTGTATACACACTCACACTCTCTCACACACACACACACACACACATATATATATATATATATATGTTATTACTTCTGATCAACATTTTGAACTATTAAAATATATGTTTAAACTTTTAATATAACTTAATTATGATATAAAACTATCCAAAAAGTATATTGCAATACAAATTTAATGGACATTACAACTTCAACATTATCCATGTCTATTCAAAGTTAGGTACTCTACACAAGTAGTACAGTATATATATATATATATATATATATATATGTGTTCAAAATTGTATGAAATACAGTATTCAATTTGAAAAAGAAAAATCGAAAATAATTCTTAGAAAATAATAAGTAATAATCTATGCATGATCTTTTACAAGAAATACCAACATCAACATTGTTTATGCAATATACAAAGTGGATGTAAATAGCAACTGAAAAGAATTACGAAGTACAAAATGGAAAAAAATCATTCGTTCTACACTACCAAGCTACTTTCTTTCGTTTCGTGGCTTTGCTTGAGCATGTATTATACCATCGACTTTCAATCATCACAGTATGAAACTCAACCATGGCTTCAGGTTTATTTCCAAATTTCCACTACACAAAAAGCTACATTTAACTACGACCCAATAACATCTGAGCCTCTGAATCATTGATTTGGCATCACAAAATATAAACTTATGGTTGTGGCGTGAGGACTTATCCTAAGATTCACATGCAAAATGAATGAATCTCTGTGCACAAAACCCAACATTATTATCATTATAAACAAATAGTAATAAAATAAAGTCATGATTTAGAGTTTGTTTGACCCAGCTCTTTGAAAAGGGTGTTCAGTTTATCCACATACGACCTTCCTGGACTGTCCAGTGCGGATTTGTGGCTCTTGCGCGCAATCAGCGGGCGACACTTGGGCACAAGCCGGCGCCATAATCGAAGAGGTGAGCCCCAAGGCACGATGGATGAATGTACTATGACGACAGATGAATATTCCGTGGAAGGATCATCGGATAAGGATGGATGAATGAGAATGTGATCCTTGGAAGTGATGATGAAGTCACGGTTGGGCTGGGGGACTATTTCGCTAGGTTCTGTGGAAGGGACTTTTGCATGACATCATCCGTTTATCATCATCCATTTGGATGACGATGGTGATTCAATCGGATGATTTCTTAAATAAAATGCTATTATATACATATCCATGTCTGAATAAAGTAAAATAATCATACGTTTTGTCATCAAATTTCAATTCACAATTTAAAATGACTACGGAAAGTAATCAAAGCCAAATCACCTTAGTGACGGTGGTGTATACAGGTTGGATACATGTGATTTTAATACATGTTTAATCCACAATGTTTTCCATCAAAACTTACCTAACGCTTTGAATTAAAAATATAAGTAAAGCGCACACATTGAGGACAAGTGTAAGGAAATCAGGAACGTTGGTGATTTCGACACCAGACGTAAGCATCCTGAACGAAGAAAAGTGTTATGCGACACCGGCGCAGGTTCTGAACTAAGAACATGCAATTCTGTTCTTGGAATTCGCAGAGGGGGCAAGCGCATTCTGAACGGAACCGGGCTCCTCAGAGTGCTTCGTGCTTCGTCTTGCTGGCAAAAGAGAGAGTGTGAGCGAAAGAGAGGCTTCTGGCATGTCACCACCTGGTGGATGGGAACCCCAGCCTTTTCGTGACACGTGTCATGATAGAAGAAGTGCGCAAAGGCGCGGAATGTACACCTCGTGGTTATTCCGCATCCATGTAAACATATCGAAGACGATCATCCATCCACTACAATTCATCCATTCAATCCCCCCCCAATGGACGTGAAATCCACCATCGTGCTTATGGGAACAGGAATCCGACATCGTCTCGTCAGTGGGCTCAGAGTCCAGCCCACGTCGTGAAACGTACCATGGATGGATGAATATATATATGGATGAATGGTGTGATGAACTATGTCTTTGGTAGGTGAACGAGTTTGGTTAGTTTTGGAATCATTCGAGGTGGGTTCTCCAGCTTAAAAGCAAAAGCTATTCTTACCAACTCAGACTGGGAAAAAAAAAAAAAAAAAAAAAAAAAAATGGTTCATTGAAGTCAAGGTCTGGCGGAAAAAGTGGAAGCACGAAAAACAACCAATTTCCAATGCTGTTGCCCAATTTTTAAATTGCTGCAGTAATCGCAGGATTATGTTCCAACAAATTAAAAGGCCTTAACACATATACAGTCAGAAGTCACTTTTTAGTATTATCAGCGAGTATTTGTATATACATATATATATTCATACATGTTTACACACGTAATGCTTGCTTATTTCCTTTCCCGTTTGTTTCGATTCTCCAGCAGAGCTTGCACTAGGACTGACATAGATCAGACTCATTTGTGACTGTATCGAATTCTCTAGTGACCCCCTCTTTCACTTTCCTCGCCACCCTCTTATTGAATACTGGCCATGAAAACGATAACCCATGAAGGTTCTTGAAATGGGCAACTATTAAATAAAAAAAACACAGCCTTTTTCTCTTGGTTCTAGAAGTTGTATCTGATGGTTTTAAATGAACTGGTCCTCAGTAAAACTTCTTCGAGAGCACTATCCACAACAATAAATAACCAAAAAAGAAAAAAGAAAAAGGAAGGACTAATGAGTTATTTCCAAAAAAAATACAATATGCATGAAGCGCCATTTATTATTGGGTAATTTGTTATTCTCCTCACTTGTTGATTATCACCCACTAATTACCACACACATGATCATGGGGGTGGTTATTATTTTTTTAATTATTCATTTCCATTATTGCTGGAGCACGACCGTGGAATGTCAAAATAAGGGCGGAATGGGGGGTAAGGGGGAAATGAGGAGTTATTTACAAAAATGGAAAGTTACTAACCCAACGAACGTTTACTTTAAAGCTGGGAGGCGGGGCAGGCTGAGGAGATAATTACCAGCCACCTCAATCATCACCCAACTTGGACTAGACACTTCCAGTCAACGCTGGTCATTACGGCGGCTGGCCGGAAAAGAAGGGGGAAGGTAACATCCTATCACGTCCAGCAACACACATCCCAAAGGCGTGGGGGATTGAACCGCGTGCATTGTGTTGGCGGATGAATGTAAGCCGCTCAATAAACGATATTATTCATCCACATCGAAGCATTCATCCAACTTTGATTTCATCCAACTAATTGTGTCTCTCTTTCTGACTCTCGCTCTCTCCTCTTTCTCTCTCCTCGTGGACGAAACCCGCGCTGTCTTGTATTTTTTTTCAAGCTTCTGGAGCATCGCACATCTCTGTCGAGTTCGATGCCATTTTTCCCGCTGCAACCCTCGAATTTGTACTTGAGTTTTGTCACGAAAGTCATCTGCGGACGGCGGAGGAGGAGGGGCGGGCGTTCACAAATCGTTTCCGCATTTTCTTTAATTCTTGCTTTCGTTTGGTAGCTAGAAAGAGCAATTGGAGCGTTTCTCTGGTGTGAGCGCCGGCGAGCAAGGGAGGGCACTGGCGATCTTGTTTGCAAAGCGATTGAGAGGAATGCGTGCGTGCTCTTCAGGGTGCTAGACTCAGAGAACTTTCCTAGTATGCTCCCAGGCGCTTGGGAGGAGAATTTTGTTGAAGTTCTTATGCGGATACTGGTCCCAGGCAGATTGGAGGCGCACTGTAGTGGCGGTGGTGGTGGTGGAGGTGTAGGTATGTAGGCTTGGAAGTGGAAGATTGGAAACTGTCAGCAGGTTTTTGGCGTTTATCATTGAACAGTTTGAGGTTCAAGCTAAAGGTGTTGGGAAGTTGTGGTAGTGACTAGACCTAGTTTATGCTGAACCGTGGTGCAGTTCCCATTGAGAGAAAAAAAGAAAAAAGAAAAAAGAATCTCGTAGTGGTTGGGGTCTGGGTAGAGTATCGGGCGATAGATTGCCGAGAAACCACAGGAATTTTCTAGGTTCCTCAGGGTTCGGAGGTTAGATGTGTTGGGAGGGATATTGAAATATCTAGACATAAGAGAATGTTCTTTGTATAGAAAGTGGGCTTGATAGGAATTTCCTGCTTAGTGAGAAATTGGAGCCGTAACAATTGCTTCGGCAAATCCTAATTATCGCACTCAGTACTCCATTTTTGATCCTCGATGGATTGTTGACTTGCATCTACAGATCATTAGTATTGAACCTACCAAACTGCAATTTCGACTAGCGAAATTTTGTGGTTCTTGATTTCGTTTGTTGTAGTTGTCCAAGTTGCGTTCACGGAGGCCTACAGGGTCGTGAGAGTTTTCAGTTCTCAGTCCTCTGCGATTGCTGGTACTTCGTATTCGAGTTCACGTCAGTACTGCATTGGCCAGGATACGGAGCCTACTCCAGGAGCTTAGAGAGGTAATAACAAACTTGGCAAGTTCCATTGTCAATCTGGCTCATCCTGCACTTAGCTCTGGTACACGAATGGCTATGGCGAGGGAGAAACGATCGCTTGATATAGATGCTTTCACAGAGGGCATGCCTGAAGAGAAACGTCCCCGACCTCAACTTGCCAGGTTTGACTTCTCCTGAAAACCATCCGCACATTCATTATTTACCGCAGGCTGGGCTCAAGACTGTCGGGGTGTGTGGAAGGATTTGGTTGCTGTAGCCACCTTGTATATCCGCCACATTCTGTTGTTTTTGAGCCTCGATTTGCCCCACAGTATTTTTCTATACAGAGAGTCAATTGGATCTCATATTCTTGTCTGGAAAGTGAGCCTACTTGTTCCGAATGCTGATTAAACGACGTAATTACTCTGCTGCATCCACATTTTCACATTTCGAAGGAAGTGTTTTTCTTCACTATACATCGTGAGGACGTAATTTGAATACATCACCCTACTTATTTGTTTGTTTATTTGAATTTTTGTGCAGTGTAATAGTGGAGGCAGTGAAAATGGACAGCCTTCAAAAATTATGCTCTACTCTCGAGCCTCTACTTCGGCGAGTGGTAAGAACTTGTATGTTATATTTACATTTCTAAGCGAGAGAGAAATATGAAGGCAGATTAGACGATGGGCATTCCACTTTTCTTCTGCTTAGTTGCCAGAGTCTTCATCCATTTAGCTCTTTAAATTAGTGCTCTACTCTAGTATCTGGTATCTTTACAAGTTTATGTTTAATAAAAGACGTAGAATGTATTTCAAATTCCTTCTCTGAGCTGTGAAGACTGTGAGAGTATTGTCACCTCGGAGTAGCTAGTTTTGACATTTACTCTACTAAGTGACATCAATTGCAATCCTGCAGCCATGACTGCGTTTGAAAAGAGTTCAGTAAATAAAAGAAATTTAATCTATCCATAAGGAATTGTAAATTTTCTTTGTACTGTAAAGAAATCATAATTATATTGTAGTCGTATTGCATCTCTTGACTAGCTCGATTTTGAAGAACTGGTTGGATGTGCAAAATAACGCAGGTTGGAGAGGAGGTTGAGCGCGCACTTGCAAAGTTCGTTCCACCCAAAGTCGGACTTCGGTATGCCACTTGTAGCTGTATTGCATTGATGTGATGCTTGAGTTCATCTTGTATAGCCTTTTCTTTTGAGGTCGTAACGTTACATTTGTATGTTTTCCCTTTGAGTAAATACACAACCAAATGGTCAAGTTTTAGAGTATCAACGCTGTCTGATCTGCATCCTGCTTCTAAACCTTGATTTTCGAATGTATTGATTCAGGTCCTCACCTAAAAGAATACAAGGTCCAGACCAGCAAAATTTGCGCTTGCAATTTAGGAACAAACTGGCCCTCCCCCTCTTCACTGGAAGTAAAGTTGAAGGGGAGCATGGCTCTGCGATTCATGTGGTTTTACAACATGCCAGCACTGGCCAAGTTGTCTCCACTGGTCCAGAATCCTCAACTAAATTAGACGTTGTAGTTTTAGAAGGAGATTTCACAGCAGAAGACGAGGGCGATTGGACTCAGGAAGAATTTGAAAACTACGAGGTCCGGGAGCGAGATGGAAAAAGGCCTCTTCTCACTGGAGATCTCAGCGTTATCCTGAAGGATGGGGTGGGGACTTTGGGGGATTTGACGTTTACAGATAACTCCAGTTGGATCCGCAGTCGCAAGTTTCGACTAGGCGTGAAAATCTCATCCACTTGTTCTGAGGGCGTTCGAATTCGAGAAGCTAAGACAGAGGCCTTCACTGTTAAGGATCATCGTGGTGAACGTAAGATTTCCACATCGTCTAGATTGTTTGGTGTATCTTGTTTCTATTTGTGATTACGTCACAGCATCATTTCATATCCCCTTCCCCAGCGTAACGGTGGTTTTGTTGTTGTACTGATGGTCTGAAACCATCTTTTTAAATATATGCGTTAGACATCGTTGATACCCATTTTTATAGCTACTCTGCCAGATTTCCAAGTTGTGATCAGAAGAAGAAAGAAGGGATGGTGAAAGCCCAACATATCTGTATTTTTGATTATTGTTGTTGATTACTCTGTTCAGTTTACAAGAAGCACTATCCACCAGCCTTGAATGACGAGGTTTGGCGATTGGACAAGATTGGGAAAGACGGTGCTTTCCACAAGCGTCTAAATCAAGCTCACGTTCAGACAGTCGAGGATTTTTTGCGCTTGGTGGCCATGGATCCTCAAAGGCTGCGTAATGTAAGTATCACACGTAAATCTTTTGATAGAAAGTATCATGTCTTTCTTTTAGCCGTGAAAGATGGGGCAATTCTTTGCATTTTGATTTAAAAAAATTTCTATCGCATTCAATGAGTTAATTTCCTGAATTTTTTTATTTTCCAAATATTGAGTGTGTGACTCATGATAAAAATGCTCTGAAAAGATGTCTTTGAGACTTGTCCAGATACTGGGAAATGGAATGTCGAACAAGATGTGGGAGGGCACTGTGGATCATGCGAAGACTTGTGTTCTGAGTGGAAAGTTATACGTTTACTATGCGGATGAGAAACAAAATATTGGCGTCATATTTAACAACATTTTCCAGCTTATGGGACTTATTGCTGATGGTTCATATATGTCCGTGGATTCCCTCTCTGACAGCGAGAAGGTATAGTGGCAACTCTTTCTTCGGCCTCTGAAGTGACAGGAGGCCGTTCATCGTGTCCTACCTGTTAATATTATTTCTGCTGATTTGATTTGTTTGTCACATGTTCCATTGCATCAGTTGCATTAATTACTCCAGTATTTAAAAAAAAAAAAAAAAAAAAAATTCTCTAAACCGTTTATTTTGTTTGGTGCCCAGGTGTACGTGGACAAACTGGTAAAGGTAGCTTATGAGAACTGGGAGAATGTGGTGGAGTACGATGGAGAGGCTCTGATTGGTTTAAAGAATTATCAAGCCAAAAATTTGGGTACCCGCACTGAGGATTCTCCTGGTGATCCTAAAATATTCAATACACACTCGCAAGGTCCGAGTCTGAACCATCAGCAAGCATACAGACATGCAAATTACTTTTAGAAGGTGTCATTGCATGAGTTAACTTGCCCAGAATTTGAATGATGGGGAGTAAAGAGCGGCTTTTGAATTCAAGTTCCTAAGGGCCAGCATGAAGTGGTGTTTGCCCTGGGAGCACGGCCCACAGGGTTCCTGTTGAGAGCTTTCAGGTATAGTCTGACAAATGTACAGACAAACTTAGTTTCTAGGATACTGCAGTCTTTTCTATTCGAAGGCCATTCGTGTGACATAGAATTTACCTGTGTGCATGTGCTGGACCAACCACTTCAGCACTTCCGCCATTTTTTACTAACAGAATAGGCCATATTCTGGGCAAGCAATGAGGGGTTATGTGCCCAGTAGCTCTCTTCGGCTTGCGCGAGCGTTTCATTATTGAAGTCATTTTTTATTTCAGAATCTTATGTGGTCGGATCTTATTTGGCAGCGTAGATCCGGACTACTTTTTAGTTAATTTGCTACCAACCAAGGGTCGGTATATTCTCTGAGAGAGTTTCTTTTCGAATTCGGACTATTTTCCACTGGAACCAAGCCTATTTCAATGTTTCAAGTGGCTCTCTGATATCATTTACCAGGTCACTCTTAGCTCGTATGTGTAATTGTAAACGAATTTGGACGTTTCTACAGCTGATTCGTTACATTTCTCTACAACCATGCAGGTAGTGCGGGTAGTGGAGGATCAGGATCTTTTTCATATGATCAGGAACTACAGAGAATGGCTTCACGATCACTTTCTGGTTCTGTTAGCCAGCTACCAGACAACCATAGCATTACGGGACCCGTTCTGCAAATGAACAGCAGCATTGATAGTCACCATCAAACTTTCCTAGAAAATCCTTCTGATAATGCACTGATTGTAGTGGGGCACACCGGGCTAACTGGACTAGCTCTAGGTCCCCCACAGAGTAGCATGACTGCCTCAAGTTCTGGCATGACTGGCATAGCCCCTCCCGTATCCATGATGAACGTTTCTTCAGGTGCCAATGATTTGCAGCAGCTTGCTCGATGGGATTTTAAGCGGCAGGAGAGTTTTGGCCTGAGGTTTCCAGTTAATGGTAATTTGTTTGGTGAGGAGATCACAGAGGATGAGCTTCGTGCGCGAAGCATGGAGCTTTTAGAGAACGAGGACATGCACACGCAGATGCAGCAGCTGCTGCGCATGTGTAACGGACAGGTTGAGGACATTCCGTCCACTCCATATGGCTCTATTCCTGGAGATGATGCTTTTCCATTTATTGGATATCCTGGTGACGAAGCTGTTGGTGAGCACAAACCCCCCCGAGCCAATGGCAAGGCCTACATAGGGTGGTTGAAGTTGAAGGCCGCTTTACACTGGTGTATCTTCATTCGGAAACGGGCAGCTGCAAGGAGGGCTCAGCTGGAAGAGGTTGATGAGGAGTCATGACATGATTCACGTGTAGTTGGTAGGATAGATTTTTTTTCAAGGAATTTGATTCCCTTTTGTGGTCGTCGACTCGTTTCGCCTCTGATTACTCCTTTCGTATCACTTGGGGCCTTTCGGATCACTTGCAAATTGTTGTCTTTAGGGTTTTCAGGATCAAGTTTGTATAGAGAGGCGATGCTGTAAATACTAGTTACAGTAACACACAAGGGCCATGTCTCTTCAGCCCCTGCGAGTACATTATTGAAATTTGGATGTGTTTTGGTGATGCAGGAGGGCATACACTCTTTTGCTTGTGTAGTTTAGTTTAGTTTAGTTTAGGTTAATTAAGTCTTTTGGTTTCTGCGAAAACGAAATCCGTTTCTCGGTGATTCCTGCCGCATGTGCGGCTGTTTATATTTGATGCGTTTGACTATGAGCTATATCTCCTCAGTGAACTCCAGCTTTTGTTTTGTTTTTCTTTCTTCTATCTTTCCTTCTTTTTTCCTTTTTCTTTGCAGGTACAACGGCTTGTGATGGAAGTTCTCTTTGCTACAACGTCACACTTTGTCTCCCTGCTGTACTGATTTTGGAATATATTGAGCATGGAATGAAAGGGCGAAGGGCATAGGCTGTATGTTGACCCTTCTTCTCATGAAGAATTTTTAGTGTGGTTATTCGATATGTAGGCCATGCGTTTATAACGAGGTCAAGAAGTGATTGCTCCAGAGCCTATTATTCCTTGCTCTGCAATGGTCGATTTCACGAGTACAGTATCTGTGGTAATTGAAGGAGAACGAACATTCAGCATCGGTCTTCTTCACGGATCATGACTGGTACACCATTATAGACCATTTTACGTAGTGTAAGCTGACATTTCAACAGGGGATGCAACAATCTCATTTATTACTAACAGTTCGATTTCAAAAGAAGCTATTTTAAAACTGATTTACATTACAATTATTTATCTGTTTTTGAATTCCGTTTACTTGGGCTCTCTTCCTGAACACACTTCAAGAGAGAAAGAGCATCCAATGCACGTTCCCGTTCAAAGGCGACCATACTCTCTCTCTGCACTTGTGTTGAATCAAATGAGTTTTCACTTTTCAATGTAGACTTTACAAGCGTGTTGTACTCGGAAAAATAATGAAGAAAACCTAGACTGTTCTGTTCTGTTTTACAAAGACTTCGCTCGTACAGACACCAAAGTCTGCTGCTCAGATTGAATATAGTTTTCTGTCAGCTATTCATTTTTCGCTGACTTATTGTCTTCACTTTGGTTGAATCTTTTACCCTACGGACAGATCCAGCTGGGTTTTATAAATACAACATCAGGGTTGGAACGGCAGTTGCAATTTCTATCAAGTTTTTTCATGCTCTGCATGGAAAAAAATAGAAAAAACACATTCACCACACAAGGAAACATTTTAAAAACCGATCAATTCTCTCCAAATACATGAACGAAGAAGACTGAGCTTCCATGTATAGTGATTCAACTTCATAAGCAAGGTTGCAAATATTGATCTCACACTGCCAACTGCTTGCGTTCCACAAATGGAGCAACTTTTATGGCTTCAAAGTCTACAGATACAAAGGGGAAAAAAAAACCCACGAGCTTACACTGCTGCAAAACTCCACCAAAAAACTGAGGTGCTTGTATCATCTTCCAATCAATGATTGATGGAAATTTACATACCTTGTAGTACAAAATATCAGCTCCACAAAGGAAGAGGGTAGGTCAATTTATCGTTGATTCAACTTCATTCACTTCATTCATCCATGAGTTGAACCATTCCCCATTCAACCTTCTTCTTTTACTCCTCAAAAGGTCCCTTCCCTTATGATTGAAAGGTCAAATTCCTTTGAAGGACATGGCCTTTGGAGTAAAGACCTCTCTCTTGCCTCCCTCACTTTCATTCTGCATTGTTTTGTGTACATTGGGCTTCAAGAGTTAGAAGAACTTGTCTTGTTAGTCTGGAAAATTTTGTGGCTCTTCTGGTTTCATCCTATTAACTGCCTTAAAAGTAGGCTTTACTAATAAGAATGTAATTTATCGTGAATCTGAAGATATTTTTCCTCCTACCTACTGACCGGCCTGATATATATATCTTCAGATTCACGATAAATATATCAATAAATATAAAAGTTGGATTTGATTTGTGAAAGGTTTTTTGTTTGATGAAAAGTTGCTTTGCCAACATATACATATATCATGGGATTGAGGCTCATAAGAGAGGTTCCTTTGAGATTTATGGAAGAGGTAGTGGTACCTTTTGGAGTTGTTGTTTGTATCCTTTATGAAGGCAAAGTTGTAAGTAAAGGTTTTTTGTTTGATGAAAAGTTGGATTTGATTTGTGAAACTATTGATTTGGTACTAGTTTTTTTTTAAAAGATAGAATTGAAAAAAGAAAGAAAAAAAGAAAAAAAAAGAAAAAAAGAAAAGAAAAAAAAGATTAGATAAAAATATTTAGATCTCTTTAACTTACATCAAAGTTTAAAAAAGAGTACAATTTTTTGAAATAAATAAGAAATAAGTAAAAAATAAAAATAAATTAAAACCCACTATTTTATCTTTTAATATTTTTTTTTTTTATTTTGTAGGAAGGTGGATCAAAGAATATAATTTTTTAAAATAAACACACAAATCTATAAATTGTCAAGGATAAGAACTTAATGAATGTGAATAAACAACCAAGATTTTTTTCAAAGAATGATGACAAAAAAATAATATAAATACATATGTATATTCAAAAGAAATTGAAATGACTATTGCCAAAAGACAAGGAAACTAGAGATATTTGAAACTACATTAGAAGCAAGAAAGGAATTGACAAGAATGAAGGAGGCTTCACTCTTGCCTCTATATATACTATCTAACTAAGAGCTACATGGCAACATTTTATAGGACCTCCAATACGTGTCTAATTTGTGAGACACATATCTTAACTTGTAAGACAAGTTTCATATATGTGTGCCACATGATCAGCTTGTACCACAAGCTACTAGCACATATGACACGTGATTAACTTGTTGGCTGAGTATTCAACCTATCAATCACCTATAGACACATATAAAGATGAAATTATGTCTACAAAGCTTCTAGGAAGGTTCTTTGAAAGATATTATAAAGTTAATCTATTTTACTTATTTCTATTTATTGTATTATTTTTATAATTATTAGAGTAAATATGTATGTCTGTGACATATATATCTGTATATCTATATATACATATACAAAGATATCATATATAATTTATATTCTTTTACTTATATTCTTTTAAAAACCTTAAGAAATATAGGGTGAGGAAGCACATACACTTTAAAACACTGTTGTGTGAACTGCCAACTAGTTCTGGCTCAACCATGCATCTTGTGAATGTGATTACATTTTCCATGTGGAATAGTTGGGAGCATGGAGCAGGTGGGAATGGGAACCCTGAACTGCTGGATTTGGAGGTAAGTGTGGTGAATGTGAGCTAAGTGGCAGGCCATGTGAATGGGGGCATGAGAGCTTCCTCTTCTTCGACTCCTTTACTTGTGTCAAATTTTTTCATGTGCACTGGATGAAGGAAGTCTAAAAGGGAACATGGTGCCCACTGGTGTTCTCAAAGCCAAAGCCACTTTGTCATAGCAATGTCAACACTTGGTCTCCTCCTTTTGAGGAATAATAAATGCTCTCTTGAATGGTTTCTAGCCAGCTGTGTCTTCAACCTTAATAGCAAAAACCCTAAACCCTGACTCTGGAGCAACCTGTTGCAGGCCTCTGGAGAAGCTCTACTGACTTCAAGTTCAGCTATAAGAATGAGCACCTGCCTGAGCTCAAACAATTCAGCAGATGGGCTTTTGTGGTCTAAGCAAAATTTAGCATTTGAAAGAAAGCTTCTGAAAATAAGCTCCAGTAAAAGTGTAACTAGCATCTCTAGATAAAGTCTTTGTAATGCCCTGAGTGTGTGAGTGAAGGGAAGTTTTTCACACATGTAAGACACTTGTGTTATTAATTGCCAACTCTTAGCAACAAGGTTAAGCCTGACCTTCTTTAGGTTTTGTACACTACAAGTCAAGGCCTAGTTTATTCAGTCTATCATGTAAGAACTAAAAATTAGAAGTCCATTACAAGTCCGTTTTTTACCATGGCTGAGCACATGATTGGAGCTGACCTTTTCTTGAGATTGTGTGCTTAAGCAGGACTTGGTCCTTGCCCTTGTCTTTGGATTAAGAGGACAGAATCTAATCTCATGAAATCAAACAAATGTCCCACTAGTCAATGAGTAAACCTTGACCATTTGGGTTGTTAGGACATCACCTTAATCATATACATTTGCATACATGTACTGCTCCCTTTGATCTACCCACTCTTCCTTAGATCAATCCTCAACTGCCTGGAGTAGTGTTCATTATCATGATTATTAATTTTAACACTAATTATAACAATAAAAGGGAAACATTCTCCTTAACTAATACATAAGAAAGAAAAAAAGGCACACATGTTGGCCTATTATACTCAACAAGACAGGGCTCAGTTTGGACTACTGTGAGTTGCTTGGGTCTGAATTGAGCTGTATCAGTTACTATCTAGTGTGCATCTCCTGTTTATTGTAGAAAAAGATTTGTATGGCACTATGGACTGTTGAATTTGTTGAGGTAAGGTTTTGATGGTTTTAAGTGTGTGGCTTGAATACATTTAGTAATACTCCAGTATGATTGTCTGAATGAGATTTGTGCCTATTATTTAATAGCCTAGGGCACTTGGCATGAACTAGGCTTAAGGGAAGATTGGTGTTGGAGAGCGGTTTTTGGAAATCAAGGGTATTGTAATTAGGGCTGTATCTATTTCTTTCTTTTAGAGTGTAGTTGGTAAAGTAACAATTTCCACTAATTCCATGACTTTGTGGTGGTTGGATAAGCCCAAAAACAATCTAAAGGTTATTTTGTTGGTAGAGAAGTTGTAGGATCAATAGAGGACATTAATAGAGTAAATGATGCAATTAAGATACAAATATAATATGATGTTTCTATTCTATAGCAACCATCGTGTGTGTCACAAATACCCACATTATTTGAATAAATACAAATAAATAGGAGTAAGTAGGAAGAGATTAAGTTAATGATAATTTTCTTATAAAATATTATAGAAGTTTTCCAGATGGAAATTTGATCTACAAGTGTTTTTGAATGCACCATAAAATTATCAAAACTTTTTGTAGAGGTTTTGTAAATCAAAATAACTTCAATAAAGCATCCCACAACTTGAATACTTATATTGCAAGTCTTAAGTTTCTAAGAAAGCTTCTAATTTTATGAAATATAGAAAAAAATATACACATACAATTTTGGATTAAAGACAAAAAATTTAACAAGGAAAAAAATTAGATTAATTTTTTTTAAAGAATAAAAAAGAAAAATATGGATGAATAAAATAATAAAAAAGTAAGTATGATTTATTTTTGAGCTATATTTA